AAATGCATGAAGATGAAGTGGAGTAGAAAAAAAAAAAAAGTTTAAATTGGCTGAACAGTCAGCTCTCTATGGGAAGCTGAAAATAGAAATGAGTTCGTGGAACTCAGGAGCTTCACTATCTTCTATTTGGGGAAGATCAAACTTCGCCATTTGCAAGTTAAACAGGGATCCCCAAGGCTTCTAGAGAGCACTTTATAAAAAGAGGTTTTATATAGGACCTGTGTATTTTGCAAATAAAACTGTAGCACGTTAAATTCTAATCACATTCTATTCATAGCATCTGAAATCAGAGTATAAATTTGCTTCCTACGGATAATTATCTGGACTGGAGTTTTAATCTCGTGTGTATGCCATTACCCCTATGCAAACACGGATAAATTTTGGCTTTTTCTTTTCAGCAGCATTCAGCTACTTCGACATTTTAAGTGGTTATGAGTTGGTTTTAAATAAATACAGCCTAAAGAAATCAGATGATATGTTAAGCAGTAGTACTTGAACTGAGAAAGAAAAGAACACAATATTGTAGAATAACCTCTTTGCTTGGGAAATAACGCTCAAATTCCAGAAGGAAAACTAGTTAATCATGTCAGCTTTGTAAATATAATTTCTATAAAGGTTAATGCCAGTTTAAATACATCTATCAGGTCCCTCATACAAACTCTCCAGCTACCTCAGAAATGAATGCAAGTATTCTAAATAAGAAAAAAAATCTCCTGCAGAAAATTTCCCAGTATTATAAAGTTGTTAATTATGTTAAGGAACACCCATTTAGTCTTCTGTCAATGACAAAACAAACAGGAAAGTACAGTTCTAGTTAGATATACTAAGATTTACTTTGAAAGGGTTGAAGACAAGAAATTATGGGGGATTTTGTTTTGCTTTCAGCCAGTGACAGCTGTTGGGGCAGCTCAGAGCAGCGATCCAAGCATGGCAGGGGTACGTAGCCACAAGGCTTCAGCGCCACTTGCTCTTCCCAGCGACACCCGAATCTTTGGTCTCAGATCAACACCTGAAATAGGGACAGCTGAAACAGGGACACCTTCTAAACGGTACTCTCTACCACAACTTGTATAAAAAGGTCACGATCATCATGAAACAAAGATTACAAACCTTCTTTTGTGAAAAAGCAACCATATTCCTAACATAAAATAAACGTAAAAAGCAAAAATGTGATTTCAACTTACTTAAATTGCCATCATCATCAAAAAGCAAAAGAATAGCCAACTTTATATATTACTACAATATTTTTCATTATAAAACTATCATAAAATTTTGGCTACCAGGTTCGATATCAGGTGAATTTGCAAATTTACGCAAACAAGCAAATTAGCTCTGCATTTAAAAGAAGCCATCTGATCCGAAAGGCCTTTAGTTCCAGTGAAACCCGAACAGTGCTTTGTGGAACCGGGGTTTTTGGTAAATAGATGCCTAATGATGCAGATAGATAGCACCAAGGATTTTCAAATTCCTCAAAAGAGCACATTTCACATATTTTTTACTATTGACCTTGTATGCATCCTTTACAACTTTAAAAAAAAAAAAGCTATTCTGGTTAAAAAGAAGCCTCATGTGTTTTCATAACTTATGAACTGTCAAAAGAACGATGCATTCAGAGAGGAGATCATGAACTCGTTGCAGGTTCTGGCACTCACACCAGCTGGTCGTAAGGGAAAACACCTTCACATTGCTGTTTGCGAAAGAGACTCAATTTCACCCCACCAAATTTTAGCACCACAAAAGAAGTTGCATGAGTCCAATAACACTTCCAATACCTCTTTTAAAAGCACTGGTAACCTAACGTGCAACCAGACATCACATACCTATCGGTATTCACCACAACACACCAGGCTGACCCTAGCGAGGAGCTGAACTTAGAAACAACTTTTAGCTGCGGAGCTGTTACTGAAATGATTAGTTATAACAGCTCCGAGCAGGCAGATCACTTCACCAGCATGGATCTGCGTAAGATCAGGGCCTGAACACATTTCTTCCCTTCATCTGGCCTCAGCTTCAGCAAAAAAACATGTTTCCCCCTGCCCCAGCCCGCTCCCCATGTCCATGGACATTAAGCATATGTCGCCTCACTTTTGGAAAGTGTTGCATTATTTAACTTCATTACTGTTTGTTGAATTGCTTTCAACCTTTTTTTCACCTTGCAAAAAAACTTTTAAGTGCGTTAATACGGCACATGCTTAAACTTTACCGTATGCGAATCACGTGGATCAGCAGTGGGACATCGTTACTTACGGAAGGAGACCGGGCACAGGGCGCTGGTTCGCCTGCCTCCCCCCTACACACCTCTCCGACTAAATTTGTTTCTACCCCTCCAGCCTCCAAGCAGCCTGTGCCTTCCCTGTGGAACAGCCTCTACTCCCGCTCTCTGTGTTGCTTAATCCTCCAGAATTATCTCTGACCTTTCTGCTCAGCCTGGTGGAAGTTGGGCCCCGGCGATGGCAAAGGCACCCCTGAATCTTCAGCCACAGCTGCTGCAGCACTTCAAAGGCAGCTACCAGAGTTAAGGATTTCGACCACAGCTGGAATCCCAAGGCTCAGGGTGCGGTCCCCAGGGCCGAGCAAAAAGAGCAAAGCTCATTTGTAAGGATTAAAACGGGGACAGGTAATGGATCTAAATGGGGCAGCTAGGGGAGGGAAAGGCAGGGAGAGTGGAAGTCAGTATACAACGCAGAAAATCCGAGGAGGTTAAGAGGGGCAGCAAAAGGCGGGGCTGGGGGCACAGAAGACAAGAGATTCCTGGTTAGCATAAATAATACACATGTATGTTAGGGAGGAAGAATGAGAGCAGCTTGGAAATGTAAACAAAAATATCTTCAGAGGAAGTAGGGCTTTAACATAGAAAATGGTGAAAAGATCAATGGGAATAAAACACAAAAGGATGTGCACGTCAAAGACAGCTAGAAAAACAGGCACCAAGAATAAAAGATTGTGATGAGACGGAGACACAAAATCCACCTGTAAAATATAGCTTCAACTGGGACATATCACAGCCTTCATACTGCAGGATTACCCCAAATGCGAAAACAAAAGGTTTTTATTATTCAGGACAATAACGGGCTTTGCATATCAACTTATGAAAAAGCATTTTCCTCCGAAAAGTAAGATTACAGAAGTTTTTAAAAGAAAAGCACTATTTGGTTTTTAAGACCATGCTACATCTTAAGCTGGGAAGCAGGAATATGAAGTTGACTCACATGCACCAGAGAAAGGTGGCTGTAGCCTCCAGCTGAGCCAGGTTGTGAGCAGGACAACCTGCGCAGGACACAAACACACCAAGAAATCTGAGGGTTCAAAAAAACCTCACCACATGCTTTGGAGGGCATAAACTCATCAGCTAGTTCAGAAAAACTGTTTGAACAGAAGTTCTCATCTGGTGGCAGTGGAAGATAGTTCACCTTTCGGCTGGATTGAACTGTAAGGGTAAAGCTATGAAGTGGGACATAAACTCCATGGGACAGGAGCAAGAACGCAAACTGTAACCCTAGAATAAATAATTTACCGCAATTTCACACCTACCTTAGTGTAGAATAATTTCTCTATCTCAGCTTGTTTCTTAGAATTTCCCACGTTTGAATGATAAAATATTAACAACAGTAAGTAATTATCATGTAGTTATAAAACTAAGTGTCAAGCTGCATGTTGAATGGTTTAAAAAAGAACTTGGAATATACCAAAATAATAACAAATACCATATTTTTGCCATCTGCAATCTTTTTTTTTTTTTAACATAGTTAAAATAGTTTAACTATTTTATTAAACCATTAATAGTTTATTAGTTCCAACTATTAAGTACTTGCTTGAAGAGCTTAACAGGAACACTCACTTGAAGGACCTTATCATTTTCACTTGTGATATACGAGCTTCCTTCACTCAGCCTCATTAATTTTCTAAATCTCCAAATGTTTTGTTGTACTTTATAAGATAACACATTCTAGAGTTAAAACAGGAAAAGATTTCTAGTTTGGAATCAAGTTGGCTTATTATTTATTTTCTCTCTCTCCTTAGCTTTCTATTCAGATGTGGCAGCAGAGAACTGCATGGCTAAAAGAGACTGCTAGAAAAGAAACAGGAGAAATGTGATGATCACAGAGCAGACAGCTCTTTATTTGTCATTTACTCCGAACTAGAAAGAAAAGAGTACCAGGCCAAAAGTCATTCAGTTAGTTATTAAAAATGACTGATCCTAATTGATCTATCAACAGTTTCTAATGTATGCTGAATATATCACTCATCATTTACAGCCCAAACTGTTGACTGAGGTTCATCCATATTCATGAAGACATGTGAGCATATCTACTACTGCAAGAAGAAATGCTGATGTAGTAATAAAAATACACAAAAACACTACCGTTTTTCAGAGCATCCATGGAAACAACTTGAGACTTCAGAAAAGTAACTATTTTCATATTACAGCTTTATTTCAAGCACTGTTTCTTACCGGATACAATTTATACATTTTGCTGTATGTATATATATTAATGGAATACTTTCCAAATTGTCCCTAGATAAAATATATTATGTGCTTATAATTCTTCCAGTAATAGCTTTTCCAAGTTACATTTTGCTGAGTGTTAGTTCAGATCACAGGAGACAAAAAAGAGAAAAAAATTTACAAATTGCTTTGGCAAAATACCCTTCCATGGTGATGTCTTTAAAAGTATTCTGAATGCAGGACTTCTTCATCCATTTTTATTCCGGTATCAGTCAAATAGATAGGAGGAAACATAAACACAGTTATACTGCTTTGTTTAAATATAATTTAAAAGAATATAGATCTTGATTTTTCCAAGTGTGTGGTCTCACGTTTGAATGTTGCCCAGTCAAAAAAACTGCCCGCTGCTTCTCAACGTACAATGATGCAAGACCTTTTTGAAACCTCTAATTGCATCATTGCAATGGTCGCTGTTAAAGTTCCTGGTAATCCCAGAGCTTGTGTCCAGGTAGGAGGACCGCCAAAGGTACCAAAACAGAGAAGAATAGCATAGTCATTGAACTGCACACATTGAGCTTCTAGGTGGATTAACGGTTCTTGTCACAGGCTCCTGACTGTAGTTGACAATATCTGCCTTCACCACCCTCTGTCATAAAAGAAAACACAGTAACAATCAGAAAATATAATCTTTTCAACAGATATTTTGCTATGAAATATGAAGGGGAAAAAAAACAGACACTGTTTAGGGTTTTTTTTTCATTACCTTACAGAAAGTCTTATCAGGTGCTAATTCTCATTCTATACACCAGTTTATCCATACTAAGCAGAAGCAAGTGCCTTGGTAAATTTTCACAACACTACAAATAGAACATGATTTTTTTTTGCAAAAGCAATGAATACAGATTTACTTCCATGAAAATTGTTTTGCATGGAAATAATAAAACAATATTAGTTTACAAAGACTATGGTATGCATTCTTTAAGAATAACTGCCTAAATTGTAATTGGAAATTGTACGTAAGTTTGGCTTTCCGTCTTTTCTCCAAGCACTCCACAGAAAAATATGGACAGAATACAAAGCAAATTTCAAATACAACCATATTTCAAAAAAGCTTTAATAGGCAGACAGACTACAGACTAAATTAACAGAAAAAGAACCTCTGCATGCCATAAATATTTATTTTCTAATACAGATCCAACAGATATTACCCATTCTACTTACAAAGCATTTGATAAGACTGTTGGCCTCTCCTATGTGAGAAGGAGGAAATGAGATTCCAATTTTGTGTCCATTTCCATCCAAGGCAGCTATCTAACATTTTCAGTACAGAGCACTGAAAGACCCTCCTAATACAGGAACATCAAGTATTTCAAAACTTCCATGAACTATCTGGTTATTAGAAACACCATGTAATTGTATACATAGTTCTGAAATTAACAGGTCAAGTATTACAAGTGCTTACAGATTAAAAAAAAAATACTTTTTTTCCCCCATAGAACTTACTCTAACAGTTGTTACTTCATGTAAAAGCAATGCACCTTGAAAAAAACCCCCAAGTTTTCCATCAGTACCTGAACTACTGCATTGAGCAGACTTTGCTCTGGCAGTTGGAAGTGTTGTGACGTTGGTTATCTTCTTCAGGATATTTCACTAGTCCTGCCCTGACAACATGCTGTTAATCATGTATCAACATAATGGATAGAGGGCAAGGAGAAGAATGTGAAAAGAAAAGAGAAGGAAAAAAAAATGGAGAGATTGATCAGTAGTTTGAAAGAATGAATGAATGACATAAAACGACTATGCAGAAGCAAAAGGAAAGTGCGTTTCTTTTCAGGCCTTATGCTGATAAAGGAGCAACATGTCTAGCTGAAAGCATCACTGTCAGCATCAGGGCTGCTTTTCAAGCTTCTTCAAGGACATGGCCTTTCAAAGCACCAAAGTGAAATATTCATACATGCAATCAACAGAAGTGTATTAAAGCAAGAGAAGGGAGAGAATAAAAAGGAAGGCAATTCAGTGGAAGAAAAGACAACAATGGCCTATTGCTTTAAGTCTACGGTACTGAAATATCACATTAGTCATCTTCCTATCAACAATTGTAACAAGCGCGTTAGACATACACATGCATCTTTCCATTATATAACTATTGCATTATAATTAAATATATAATCAAAAATAAATTTTGTGACATAAACTAACAACCTGACATCTAAGTGCTGCAAAACTTTTCTTCTTCTTTACTTCATGTAAGAAAATAAAAGGCTCTCATTTTTCCCTTTAAAGACAAACAAAACTGTTGGAAGTTTTCTCACTATTAATATAGTGTTCATGCAAAGGGGAGAAAAATTCACAGAACAATTTCAGCAAAAAAGTAACAAGAGGTAGGTCTGCTACGAAAGATACCCCAAACCAGTTTAGTAATTTTTTCTTAAATATTTCAACTTTTATACAATGTATTTTCAAGGTTAAAATGAATGGACAAATGAACAAATATCATTACTTTGAAAGGAAACGATACATAAACTGGATTATATGAGTATATAAACAGTGTATGTTAAAGACTACCCCTGTAAATAAAACCTGTATGTCAAACAAGCAACAATAACTGAATTGGCTGGTAAGGGATCTGGATTTATTAGCTGCTGATGTACTACTTTTCTTGAGTTAATTGATCACATTCATATTATCTTATCTAGTGGACAACACTCATGATTTACTGGACTCCTGGCCTGATGTTATCAAGGGAAAGGTTGCCAAATCCCATGTAAGGCACTAGTAGGAGTTTTAGCATTAAACAGTGTTATCTGACCTCACAGGACCTAGTTTCTTCATACCAATCTTTTGACTAGAGCTGGGGGGGGCAATGGGGAGTCTTGCAATCAGTAAGCAATTAATTGTTCCTCAAAACATTGGTTTAAATCCCATCCTGTAAACATAGGCAGGTTAGTGACCCATGCTTAGGCACGCTGTAGCAAGAAACTGACTATCATAAATGACTTGGATTTTCTAAAGGAATTTCATCTAAATAAGAGTAAAAAAAAATACCACTGCAGCATTTCTTTTATTAACCTCATGGTAATTAAAAACTTGGGCTTCTTCGTATCAGTTTCTGTGTCAGGCATATCATTGCCATGGTTCAAACCGCTGTCAATAATAAGAAATAACCTTTCTTGATGCAGGGTCTCTGAATTCCAGATCTGACTTATTTGCCAAACATTTTATTGTACAAAGCTGGCACACACACACTAGTTTGCTGAACTGGCATTTAGTTAAAGAGAAAACTACACATCACTTAGAAAAATGCTAGCTCTCGCCAATGCCAAGGAACAAAGCTGTACCCCATGCAGATTTTACACTACGGTTGAAAGTAAAAAATATAGAAAGAAAAACATTTGATTAGTAAAGGAGCTATTTCCTCAAATTTCATCAGACTCTTGCGATTTTGAGGACTGAAAATAAGTCAGAATCTGCAATTTTTTTACTTTGGAACTGTTTCACTTCAAAAACATGCTCTACTTTCCAGTCACGCATAAAGAGTAATCTAGTTCTTTATTTCACCACAGTTTTGACCAAATAAAGGTTTGATTAACATTCATCTCAGCATGTTAACAGACAAGGTTTAGTAGCTCTAGCTGAGACAGTTTAAAAACTTACCACCCCCAAATGTCTGTCCTGTTCCTCTGCTGGAGATCACTGCTGCCAAAGGAGAGCTGGTGGAATATAACGTGTACTTGCACCTCATCCGCTTCAGCACAAAGTCTGGCAGCTTCACTTAAAAACAACTTTCAGCAGCAGTTTAAGCTAAGCTGCTCAACTTCACCCTGATGTGGCCAAGGCACATGATCACCTTCCATTTTCTGATTCTGCTGCGAGAGTGATAAATTCCAGCAAAAGGGCAGTAACAAATATCTTGGGTTGCATTAAGATCTTAAACTGCTGCAGCTCTTTTCTAAAACAATGTATGGTAAGTAAATCAATTTCTAAGGCTTGTTCTTGCACTTAAATTAACAGAAGTTTTGCTGTTAATTTGAAGGGGACTAAGAACCCCATCCACTTTTCACAGCAGCTTCTGCAGTTCTGCCAGTAGCCGAAGCTCAAAAGGCGTGAGTCAAGCCCACAAATTCATACAAGTAAAAATAATGTGTTTGGGATTCCTGTTATTCATTTCTAACCACCTGTGAGCCACTTCTAAGATCTTCCTAGTGACTGTGACAATTATACTTTAAACACAAGAAATATGATCTTCAGGCATAAAAATCAAAAATGTGAGAAATAATTTTTAAAGAGACAATCAGTAACAATGAAAAAATTCATAATAAAATATAATTCACATATAGCATTTCACTGTTGGCTTCTTCCACAAGCTCAGTATTTCATCTTTTACTTTGTTACGACCTAGACTAAATGAAGACATCTGATGTTCTTAGATGAACATATTCAAGCAATAACCTTATTTTTCAAAATGAGGAAACCTCAGATTACACAAAATATGGAAAATTCAAAGATATAATCCAGTATATAAATAGTGCACATCTGTAAAAAATAAAATGTATTTTACTCTTTGTTTAAAAATTAAACCCAGGTCAACACCTGCATACTTACTGATGTAAGGATGTCACACTTACTATTGTATTTTTGTATTTCTTTATAGCATTTATCTAGCATCCATCTATCTATCTACTTTTATAGTTCAATAGCTAGAGTTTTAAACACTTAAAAATTTTAAGGAACACAGTCACATAACCATTCCACCATTTAAGGAAGTCCTGTGCCCATTTTACAGATGGGAAGGGAAAAAAATAAAAAACAAAACAAAAAAAAAACCCAACTACCAAAAAACCAACCAACCACCCACAACACCCCACCACACTAAGGAAGCTGTACCTGTCATACAAAAAGTCTGTGGTAAATCAGAAACATAGTAATGGCAACATCATCTATCACCACCTCCTTCCAGCCAAAAGACCAGTTCCATGCTTTTGGGAAACAGCATCAACACATTACTTTAATTAGTCTTTTCCACTGCAGACTAAGTCTCAAGAAATGTCCTTCTATTCATCTCCCTGAGGATATGAAGGTTAAAGTTTTCCCTCTCCTATTTTATATAGAGACTTTACTTTTTCTGTCTTAAGAAGTGACCAAGATATTTGGTTCCATGCAACAATGAACCTTAAGATAGAGCTAACAAACAGACACTCCAATACAATTCCCATTGGTTTCTCACGGACTTAAATTTGGGCATTTCCTACAGCCCACTCAAAATAGCACTCTGAAAGGAAGCAAATGACTTACTGGTAGCAAAGAACTACTGCTTGTTCAGAATAGACTGAAATGACACTTAATTAACAGAACCTTGCATAGTCAGGCAGCTGCTTTCCAGCTCTCACCCTTCAGCTCCACACACTGCGTAGCACCACATAGTGATTTCTGCTGTACCTCAACGGTGACACTGAAGTTTCTTTTCTGTCCAACTCCATTTAGTATCTTTGTTTCCACTTTTGTTGGTTTTTTCTTTGTTGTTGTTCTTGATTTTTCAGGGGGCTTTAAACCTTTTTTTTAATCACTATAGCTTGGATTCACATTAACAGTAATGTGTGGGTCACAGTGAGTATTTAATTTATGCATATTAAATATTTATAGGCTATTGCTATACAATTTGCATAATATCAAATTTTTATGCTCTATATATTCCATATTCCATTGATCTGCTCGACCAAATTAAAACCTGTAATTACAATACTAAGGTAGGAATAAGCCTACTTAAAGCCGATACCAATTTGACAGAGAGAGTTAGGTACTCTTGAGTCAGCGCTATATTGAGGTTCTAACTTTAAAAACAACTTAAAAATAGACACTTTCTTTAAAAAGTTTGATACCAATTTGACAGAGAGTTAGGTACTCTTGAGTCAGGGCTATATGGAGGTTCTAACTTTAAAAACAACCTAAAAATAGACACTTTCTTTAAAAAGTTAGAATGTTCTGCATAACCCCACTTCTTATATTATCTTTTTAATTTAAGGTATTTGCATACCTATCTACAAGCGTTTTGCATAAATTAAAAAGAGAATATAGGAAGTGGGGTTAAGGTATTTGCATACCTATCTACAAGCTTACACCTGAGTTACCAGAACACACCACCACACAGGACAGAGAGGTGTAAGACTGATGTTCCAGTGTTAGCTAAACAACCAAAGAAAAATTAAAGACCTCTTTACGTGCTGAATTATTTATACGCAAATAACCATAGAGCTCAGAACAATAGATGGATGGCGCCTCAGTAGTAAAAGATCGCTGAAAAGATATGATATTTCTCTACCTATAAATTACAGCTTTTCAAATCTCCTTAGCTTTGCTTGTTAGGTATGCACTCCAAGTGTATTTTACCATTTTACTGTTTGCAATACAGTTTTCTAGTTAACCACTTCAACACAGATTGTAAACACTGCTGTGGCAAAACACTTTCAGAAATTACATGTTTATTGTATATTTCAAAAAGCAGGAGACCAAGCTGTACATAAGAAATGTTTTGCCTTTCTTTTAAATAAACTTGTTGACTTATTTTGTGGTACTGTTTTAATGTTGGTAGTAACTAGCAGTTCCAGGCTATTACACCACTAGAACAGCTACCTTTTGGTTCAATAAGTAAACTTAAAATAAGCATATTGTAATCTCAAACATCATTATATAGGAAGGGTTGCCTCAGTAGTATAATCGTTGTTTTCGAAGTTTCTGAAACACTGTTGGTATAAAAACTTTTTTGTTTAAACCTATGCATACAGTCTTCCGGGCAGGAAAATTATTTTTAGAACTAGGAAGAAGGAGGTGGTAAGGAAAAATGGTTTATATTAGAAAACCTCTTGCTTGATTGCTTATTTGAACAATTAACACAGTTCTGATCTCCTAACTCATTGATAAAAACTTAAGTGCCTTCCAACTCTGGCAGATACAGTTAAGCAAGTATTCACATTTTAATTAAAATATAGTTATAGTTCAAATTTTTTTAAAAAACACTGCAAACAGCTCTTCCTCGCTAATTCATAAGGTCAGAAAACAATGTCCTCATTAGAGCTATTTTGCATTCCTCAATTATTGAACAGCATGAACTGCAACAAAGCTCCGCTACAGTTCAGAGCGGGACATGGAGCAGGGTTCTGCCATGTGTTCACAGTGAAATCACTATAGTCACATCCCTAATTCACTGGTAACCAATATAAGAGATTGGTGAACAATCTTCTTGATGATTTTCCCACCTATTGCTGGGAAACATTCTCCTCTCTCTCAGCCCTTTCTTACTGCAGAGGAAATGACAGAAAATCCTCAAGATAACACTCGTAACACAAAGAACAAAACACAAAGTGCAAGGGCAGCTTCTTTAGCAGGAGATTATTTGGGACTGGTACAGTGAAAAAAATAATTGCAGATGCCAGGGAGCTGCAGTATCTACCCAAACACATAATTCCACAGGTCTGCCCACTGTTGGGAATGGGTATGCTGAACCAGAATAGGATTCATTTCTCATCTGCACATCAGAATTAAATGGGAAACAGTGACTACAGTTAATATTCCTTCCCTGAGGCAGACAGTCACTACCAAGGAAAGTATTCCTGTCCTGTATTATACAGGCACACAATGAAAACTAAAATCTGATACTAACCAAACACGGGATTTGACATAGTTGATTCCTGACTCTGTGGCTGATAAATAATATTTTTTTCCTGTATGACTACAATGAAGATTGATTTAGAACATTTCCACTCACAGAAGCTTATGCTTTCTATCACTTGAATTTGTAGTGTTCTAAACTTATTTTTTTTTAAATAGGTAAAGAACTAAAAAAGAACAGTTATCACAACAACTGTATCTGACATCAACGTACAGTAATTAATGTATGTATAAGAGTGTCTCCCATGATACCTGTATATGCACACGTATAGAGAGGTTTTAATTTCTAAAACAATTTTAAATACTATTTTTAAACAAACAGCTCTCAACTCTGAAGTTTTTTAATAATTTTTCTTGTTTCAGCAAGTTTATCATGATGGATAAATAAAGAATTATTATATTAAAAAAGCTATTGTGAAAGTCAATAATTGTCTTCAGAACAATAGATGCAGCTTGCTTTAAAGGACAGTTATTAATTTGCAATGAGATTATTTTTTTAATACTAAATGAAATACTAAGAGAAAACACATATTTGTGGAAAATCACCTGAGATTGTTCCAATTCTGCTTTGTTTAATTTGATGCCAAGTATGTCAGCAGCAATTCTCTGAAAACACAGGAAGACCTATGGAAAAAAATTAAATTGCATTTAAATGATTAAAAACAGACGTCCTTGAGGTTCTTTCAAATATATCAAACCATTCTTGAACTGTAAACAATGAGATATACAAAATTATGACCTGTGCAAAACAGATCCGAAAATAACCTCATCTGGTACATTCAATTTTGTTTAAAAATTGGAGAAAATAACTCAACAATGGTACAAGGAGAGAACAGAATGCTGGATTGTTAAGCAACACTTCTGCTCTGCCTCCAGAGACCTAAGTTTAAACAAGCTTTTACACAACCCACCTCTCAAATACTACTCAGTGCTATAAAATATGAATAAGGGTATTCACTAATGTTTAGCACAAAGATATATTACCAGTGTATTGTGCAACAGCGATGCAAGCTTCTGAAATTGAGAACAACAGAACTGTCCAACAACATGGCCAAAATCTGTACTGCACATGTTTGAAAAACATTTGCGATACAAAAGCCAAGCAACGATACATTTATTCTGAGGAGTCTTGCAAAACATTATGAGTGTTATACTGAAGAGAAGTTATTTAGGAAACAAGCAAGATGGTGTACGGCACGCACTAGCCTAGCAGAGTTAGACTTTGGACATGGTTTTACAGATAACATGGGGTGGCAATTCTGTCTTAAATAACTCCTTTACTTCATCTCAATCCAGTCCACCAATCTTCCTCTTTAGGCAGCTGCATTTTAAATGAGATTAAAAAACACAACAGATGTTAAAGAGGAGGAGCTTAAGCTTGCACTGCTGCTGAACACTGTATTGTCAAGCTACACATTATGCTTTACCTACATAGTTACTTGACTGAGGTCACAATCTAACAAACATTGCTTTTCATCGTGCAGCTGCCACCCCCAAAAGGTAAAGCCTGTGGAAGTCCTTTTAGTCATTTTCAATGAAAATTCAAAAAATACCATTTACACAATCTATTCTTACACCTGACATGGAAACTAGTAATGAATTGGTGGCAAAATAAACAAGCCATGGTAACTTCTAAAATAATTTCTCTAACTACTTGGTCTACTACCGGTCTATTTTACTCACATCCACACGGCAAGAAAGGAAATCCTGACCAGGCTTACCTTTTCCAGATACCTACTTTAACCCGCACCAGGCTCTCAGGTGTACTGAGCTAGATCACCTGCCGTGAGGATGCTTTGTACACAAAACATCAGGCCCGAGTCCAGTGCTTCAGTTATGCAATTTGATGCACAGTAAGACAGTTAGCTACTAAATCATTCATGAAAGTTTTTCTCCCCCGAGGAGACATTTTGGGCTTCTCTATGTACATAAAATTATCTTTTGCATACGATCTGTTGGAAAAATCTGAGGTAAACAAAACAAATCATTTATCTTAACTGAGTATTTAGGACTCCTCTAGTCTATATCCACAGTAGCAGTGGATGGCCTCTTCTTAAATCACTGTCTAGGGTAAACACCCTGTCTTTCCTGCACAACTACCCAAATACATGAAGATTTTAAAAGGTCAGTGTGCGGTAACAGTAAAAGCGTTAATTCAAATCTATATTGAAACTAAAAATGAATTACTGCAAACTACACCTCATACTTTCTTTTGTTAGTAGATATTTAAACAGAGAGTTCTGGTCAATGCTTTCTAGGTATGTTCAGATTTACTTTTGGCTTTAAACAGTAAGTTAAAAAAATTACAATCAGTATATATAGTGGGACGCTGCTGTAATTCATTAATCAATTAAGAAGATATATAAAGATTCTTTCATAATTTGTAATGTTAAATTTATCAACCTTATAAAAAGAACTACTTTTTCTTATTGTTACCAAATCCCACAAAAAGGTTGTCTCCTTGAGAAAGGAATATATTTTATCAAATTCACACTTCATTGGCTGAAGTATTACAATTTTTTTTTGTTTCTAGCATGTAAAGCTTGAATTTTCACACTTTAAACAAAAATTTATGCCAAAGATTTCACACAAACTATAAGGAGAATCAGAATTCACTGCATTTGTAACAACAGTATTGTTAGACTTTACAGAATAACCATTTTATTATAAAATTAGGCAGTCCAGTGCAGAAGTTTCATCAAAGACCTTAAAACAAGTGATTCCATTTGCGTTACAGAATTATACTTCCAAATAATTGAACATGGTCTTATTGTTCAATAACATAAAAAATAAATTATGTTGTCATAAATAGGAGACATACAGGATTGTTTTATGGGAATGACAAAGTCTTTACGCATGTGACAGAAATCAAGCAACATAATATAATGTGATTTAATCTGACTGATACAGTCAACTGAAAAAGAACCTCTTCTTCCATAGCCTTCCAACTAAAACAAATAACCCAGTTAGCTCAGAGTCAAAAGATTGTTCAAAAACGTGCTCTGCAAAGCATTACAAATACCAGAATGTTCAAATTTCAATGGACCTGCAGAGAGAGTGTCTCTCACGGCTCAGGACCAACATTAAAAACTTTGATTGTAACAGAGTCTTGTGACATTATCAACTGTTGAAAGCTTCTGTATTGATGGTCCATAGATGGGACTCCACCTGGATCGAAGAAATACATTTAACTATTGGCTGACAGCAAACTGACATCCAGCTGGTCTCCATTCTCATGCTGATGAATAAGCTAGACCATTTCCATATTAAAATCTATACCTCAAACTGCAAATCAGATGAGAAGCCACTGTAACTAATAAAGAACATATACACCTATACAAAGCTCTGTTTTTCACACAAGTCGATAGGGAAAAGGACCTGCAGCAGCCAAAGTTCTCAGTATTTTCCTATGTGAAGTATAATAAAGCTGCTACATAATATCCCAGAATAATGGCTTTCTTAAAATAAAATAAAAATTAAAAAAACAAACAAACAAAAAAAACAAAAACAAAAACATCTACAAGGAAGTCTGTCTTACTTACAGAATCTCCTGTCTTGGCTGACACAAAATGGCTACTGAAATTGTTTTCCTGACAAAATCGTTGGTGCTTGTCAACTTTCACTGTGCGCATATGCTCCAAGTCAACTGGAAATAAGTTGAAAAAAGGAAAAATTAGTACAATGGAGCTCATTTAGTTACCTGTCTTAGAAATGATTCATTGGAAACACATCAGGTGTAATATTTTCCTTTACAGATGTATGCAAATACAAGTTTCTTTTTTATAGTCATTTTCCAATATAAAAATAACTAATTACCTCAAATTAATTTTAGGACAAATTTATTTCCAAATACCCACAAGAAATTTTTAACAACGTTATTGCTAACTACATACAAAAATCTGAGACAGAACTACATTTTGCACATTCTGTTTGCAAGCATCATGCATATTTGAGATTCCAGTATAATCTAGAGACTTTTACAAAATAGAGTTCGCCAAGCGCATCTGAATCAACATATTTTTTTTCTAAGTAAAAAATGTAAATGTGGTATAAAGACTTTTATTGCAGAACATGGTAGAGCAAAAACATTCACTATAATAAAAAAAAAAAAAGAACTGAGTAAAACCATTGAGGCTTAGTTACTTGTATATGAAGTTTTCAATTCCACAAAGGTATGGTTCAGAAAATTCAAAACAGCAAAATGCATATTTCAAGTGTCACACGCATTTTCATTTTTATCATTTTACAACCATTGGAAGCAGAGCAAAGGTTTTAAATGGTATTTTATGTTGAAAAGCACTAGTTGCTTCCAAAACAACATGGAGCTCAAGTCTTGCACAGGTTTTATTGTGTACATTCCAGTTTCTCCAAATCTGATCCTAAGGTAACTGGAAACTATATTGAACAGTTTCTCTTTTTATTGCATTACAGTTCCTATAAGGGTGTTGACTCAATGCCGTCAAATTATAAGGCAAATATATTCAGAAGGATTTAAGGACAACCAGGCTCTTTGAGTCAATACAGGAAAAAAAAACTTAAACTGATTTCCTGAGGAAGGGACCCAACTGACTTGTAAAAACTTGTAAATTTGCAAATCTAGTAAGCCTGCATAATAGTGTCATTTGATTATCAGCTGAAAAAAATGCTCTCCTACTACATAAAAGGCTTTATTTTAAAATGATATTGGAGGTCTTTAATTTGTAGACTCTGGAGATTTTCTCTTGGAGATTTTTAGTCTAGCAGGGGATTCCTACACCCCATTTATACTGCTTACCTTGGTTAATGTGGAGTTTTTGCCACATATTACTGTTCCTTGCACATCAGTAAGGCCTTGTTTATAAGAACAGGCCTAAAATCATCCAGTTACCACAGGCATTAATTTGTGAAGGACTAAAATACTAAGCTATTAACACTAGTGTTTGTAGGAAAGGTTTTCATAATACTAAATGTAGAATATATAGTTTCATAAAGAATAGGAAGGGCAAATACATTGACTAAGACAAAATCTAAAGTTGTTAACAATTTTGTTAAAAACTCATGCAGTCTACGTAACAGCTACTTAACTTTTTTCTCTGAAAAATAACTACCAGAAGAGAGCCTCTGTTGAAACGCTTTTAAGAATCAAATACAGCATACTGCCTAAACCATATCATTATTAATTATTTTTTTTACTCTTCACATATTAACTTTAAATGCAGCCTGGAAAACACAACAGTGAGATTACTCTTTGGGGAAAAATAAATACATATTGTCTTTCTTTTTATTTGACAAGCTCTTAAAGGAATTTTAACCCCACCTCCAAATTTCACTCACTGTATTTCTTCAACTATACACAAACTCCAAAAATCTACACATAGTTACAATAAAAATAGATATATAGACAGACAGACAGCATTTACAATGTATCCCTCTAAAATACCATGACATGGTTATGTAAGTCCATAAAGACAAGCTCACAAGTTA